TAACGTAATCCTTATGTTTACCCGCATATACTGTCTAGTCAGTGAGAAATTAAGCACATTGTTAATTACAATTTTTTATCACAACGAAATTTGGCCAAATGTTCTAAGACAATTGACCAATCTGCCTCCATACAAAAATAGCTGCCCAATCCTGATCTACATATTTTAGGAAAAGAGCGTGGAACCTAAACATTTATATTTCCAATAACTGAATATTAAAGGCAACTTAATTATGAAGAATACATGTGCGTAATACTAGAACTTCACAGAACACACATTTTCACTCTTCTTATATTTCCAGCCCTCTTCTGCTTGCCTTTGCAATTCGCTCATTATCCTTAAGCTTCTTCTAGATATCCTTTCACGTTTTCTGTTTCATGCCCCGTTAACAATACAGCTCCGTCTGCCCGTGCAGCCTGCCAACTGCGTTTTCTGTGTTTCTCGTTGGTAGTCTTGAGTCACCTGCACCATATTAAATTCAACTGCTGGATCTCATCTGCTGACACACAAATCAGACCCCTTATCATCGTGTTATTGATCTCAGTAAACTGCATGAATCTCTCCACGGGCTATCTGTCACACTACAGTGTTAATGCAAACGAGACAGAAAATTTACATTTGTTGTTTCATTTGATTATAAGGCCTCATATCTTGCCTTTTAATTTAAACTCCAGTTTCGTCCATGTATATATGATACATGCTATCCAACAGTTCGTATTCTATGGTTCTTGGTGTACAATACAATTTGTACATTGCACTGATGCAAGCTTTGATTCTGGTTGGTAGTGAAGCAACGACGAGTCGTCCCCAGTAAAAATCCTGTTAAGCAAACCTTCTTCAACTACATACCGCAAATGTTGCAACAACAAACCCATTCGCTTCATTTATATTTTTTTCTTTTCTCTGGGCACTCACCGTGCGCACATTTTTCGAAACTTCTAACGATCATGCATTATGCATCATTATGCATTATGAGAGCACTACACTGGTTATCTTTATTCTCCTGTCAGCTCGAATCAACCTTTCCACACCCTGCACAGTCGCTTCTGTCGCAATCTCAACATGGCGCCCTGGTCAGGCATCATCTGCGACTTTTAGAGGTTCTTGAGAGAATTTCTCGACCAAATTGTGAACCGCCTTAAGCGACAAACACTTCCCACTGTAAACAGGAAACATTTCTTCATGAATATATTTTGCATTGAGTCCTTCTGCCCCCCCCCAAAGAAAAAAAAACTGATCACTGCTCCTCGGTATGACACTCCCCGAGGACTGTCGCCATTTTGGCTATTGAAACCAATCTCAGATCATGCGCATGCGCGTCTTCTACCTACACTGTTGAAGCTTAAACTCTACTGCTACCTAGTGATATACGAGTACATAGAAAACCTATTACGTCCATTACAGCGTTTTACTTCAATTTGTAACCTATTTACTGATTCTTCCTCGTATATCAAGGAGGAAATAAGATATGTGTAAAAGTTTTAATCGCTAAAGCTGAAAGAAACGGTTACTTTAAAGGGCTAGGTATAGATGAGGGGATACAAATTAAGGTAATATTAAATTTGGGTGTGAGGATGTGGACTGATTCTGGCGCAGAATAGTGAGCAGTGGCGTAGACATGTGAACATGGAAATGAATTTTAACATCTCATAAAAATTTGTTAATTATTTTAATTAGATGAGCAACTGTTGCCTTCTAAATGACTGTTCTGTGTAGTTAGTACGCACTTACATGGATTCTATAAAATTGTTAGCAATATGATGAATGGATTTCTGATTAAAATTTACAAAACTGGAAACACTGGTTAAACTGGTTAATGGAAAGTTGCTCTTTCACTTAGCGTACAGTTAAGCTTCTTGTCACATCAGAACTTTACAAGGTGCGACAATTTAGTTCCCGGAATGGCCACAGCGTGTGGCTGTGTGTTGACTTTGGCATATTCATGTACCCAAGCACGTTTGGATATGTCCCAACGGTCCCAACTTGCGGTTACATGAGCCACAGACCAAATTGGTTGTTCGTTCCCAAGCAGCAGTGGTAGTACGTGTCCGTGGTATACTGATAAGCATCAATTTTTGTATGAAGTTTGGTAAACGTGCTAGTGAATCCTTAACCCTATTAACAGTGGCTTATGGTGAATACGCTATGACGAAATCGAGTGTTTCTGAATGGCATACATACATGGCCGAAAAATAAAAGCATGCATATCTCGCCCACAGTTCAAGACCATGCTTGTGTGGCTCTTCGATCACAATTCATTATGAATTCATTGCACAAGGACAAACAGTGAACCAACAGTTATTTGGAAGTGCTGTCAGTGTTACGGGAATATGTTGGGAGGAAGAGACCCGCACTCTGTCTTGACAAATGGATTCTGCACCATAAAATGGCCCTGCGCATGATGCGTTAAGAATTCGCGAGTTCCTGGCTAAGAAATCCATTACAAAAATGGACCATCCACCTTATTCACCTGACATAGCTCCTGCGATTCTTGGCACTTTCCGAAATTAAAAAAAATGCCCTGAAGGGACAAAGATTTGCTGACATTCCTGACAGCCAACGCAATGTCACACCGTTACTGCTGGGTATTCCGGAAAACGATTTTCAAGACTGTTTCCGGCAGTGGCACCATTGTCTCGCGAAGTGCACAGCTTCATAAGGAGAATATTTCGTAGGCGGCAACAGCTGCTAGTGCACAGATAAGCAAATTTTGCTTTCACAGGGCCATTCCAGGAATTGACTGTCGGACCTTGTATGCTGAGCGGTGTTATGGTTACGTAATCCTGCTTCGTAAGCCGACATGCCGAATACAAGTGCGCCTATGTTCTGGTCCAATCAACTGCGGATATTGCAACATGCATGGAAATGTGGGGAATGGGAGTACAGTGCAACCAATCTTAATCTTGGCACTAGATTTAGGTAAATGACGAGTTTCATGCCCCGTCGCTTTATCCCCAGGGAAATTGCCCCCCATTACCCACTGGATAGGAGGCTGCGTGGGCTCCAAGGCAGATCTGAACGCTCGACTGTCTACCCTCTGTGGAATAGAGAAACTTTTCTTGCTACTACTTCGAATTGAAACGCAGTCGTCACGCCTGTAGCCCGTCGCTATACCGGCGGTGCTGTCCCGGCTCCTAATGTACAAAAATGTTCGGCATCTTCCTAAAAGTTTATTAAACTTGCTTAAGAACATGGAAAGCAAACTAGTGAAAGTTTCCTATAGTCAACGTCAACAAAATCTAAGAAATAGTTAGTGAGACATGGATTTTTTTTTATTTATGGTCCTGTGTAAAATTGACTTTATTAAAAATCACCATAACTGAAAAGTTGAATTTCCTAACAGATTTTGGTGGAGCTCTTCTATATAATATTTTACAAAAGATCTGTGGTAGGATACGTGGGGAAGTTTTTTCTGGACATACGTAAACCACGCTTTAGTACAAAACAATATGGCTGGAAATGGAAACTTCCCGAAAACTATTAGTGGGAGTATTCTTTATCGAATTTCAATAATATCTATCCGCTGGTTTATGAATCAATGTTATGTCACAGACAGCCAGATAGATTGCATGGCCTCCACAGAAGGCGTTCCCCTTTGATTTGTAAAGCAATGCTGGACAGCGGTCGCTTGCAGGACGACGGTCTGTTTAGATTTTCAAATAAGAGATCGATTTTACAAGTAATCAGTAGCATGAACGACGAACAAACGTAGAAGAGCAGTACACGGTGAGCTCAGCTGACACCATGACACCAACATTGCGACAACAAAAACGCACGCTAGGAACGTTCTGTATCGAACATATTCCAGCGGCTAGAGGTCCATTCGCACACTCTCCGTAATATTGCCGACAGGATACCGATCGCCAGCGGACCAACAGTTCGCACAAGTACATATCAGTCAGCTGTATTCTCTGACACTACAGGGTCCGTGCGACCGGCACACGCCGATACGTCGAGATATTCTCCCATTTCAGCATGCCGGTGCCTGCCAATGACGTGACGTGTGAACGTACCGTTAAAATATATGTTACATTGGATAATATAACTGTTCAAGCTGCAAAAGCTGGCTGTTCCAGCCAAACGGGATCTGTCCCATCACACACACATACATATTTATACACATCACATATATTGTCACGTGTATGAGTGACGATAGACGGGTACTGGATTGGTAATGCGTTTTATTGAATACTTACAGATCGTAATTACATGTAACTATAGCGTTACTGTTCATCCACACTCTTTACAATTCACTACAGCATGCACTAAGTCTTCTCAGTTTGCTGTGTCTTCACCAGTAGTTGCCTGGTAACGGATTCCAACTCCGTAGTGCCCTCAATTTCCGAATTCACACCCTCACTGGCCGCCGACTGTCTCACAACTAACAAAATTCGAGACTTGGCCTGCTTATAACATCTCTGCATGGACAACACAGAAAACATCTCTCCAACAGTTCTTCTGTTGTTGCGTCACGTAGCTCTCGCACGGGGCGCGTAGAGAACACCGCTTTCCAGTTAATCCATTGATGCGCGTTACGGAAGTGTTGCTGCCATTACCTAGCAATGACTGTTGTTAACAGACCCATTACTTAGCAATGACTGTGGTATTGGTACTTATTTCGCGGTCGTTGACTAGAAAGGGGCCTACATGCCATAATATATATATATGCAATGAACAAATGTCCGTCGATCCCAACCTCTTATTCGCAAAGGGTGAATACTGGATAAACTGGCAAAGAAGCCCAAGAAAATTGTCAGATTTTTTTTTTCTTATATGGGCGGGTTTGAGTTGTGACCAGTTCCTTCATCATGCTTTCTTTGAGAAGAAAAACATGGCAACCGTGACGACAATAAGTGCCTAAATTTTGCATAAGCTTAATTCATACAACCATCGTGTGGAAATGCTTTTACACAACCTTATCTGTGTATTGCACAATGTTGGCAACGGTGCTGTGCAATTGATTGACCTCGCGAAATGGCGAACTGCAGGAGTGAAAACGCAAAGTGACGCTGCAAGTTTGTTCGAAAGTCAAGGACAGAGCACGCGACCTGCGTGTGTCAACAACGCAGTCATCAGTTCCAGTGTGGAAGAGAAGGAGGAAGGTTGTACTGGTGAAGCCGTCAGAATGCCGATTGATTTGTACCATATTGTTGGTAGTCCTCCCTGCCATTCCGTCCGGCTCCTGTTGAAAACGCTGGGAGTTGGGGTCAACCTGAAATCAGTCGACTTGCTAAACGGAGAAAACAAGTCACCGGAATTTACCAAGGTGGGTCAGTAGGTAGATTTTGAACGTATGCCTCAATGAAATTTACGTATTTTAATTTGTATAACCACGATATTCCTCCAGTGTATTAAAATAATTATTTCTTAATACAGACAAAGAGCGAAATTTGTTTATCACAGTGGCCGCGCGATGCAAAGCATGAGCAGCCCTTACTCACTCGAACGCTGGGATCGTTGGTTCGAATCCCACTCGAAGCATGGATGTCAGCGTGCGTTTATTCTGTGTGTAGGTAGCGGCCTTGCGATGGGCTGATCCCTCGTCCAATGAGTCCTAGTGATTGCGTATAGGATTAAGAAACTGTAAAACGGCCAAGGTCCGAAGAAAGGACTGTAGAGTCATAAACAGAAAGAGCGAATTTTAACTTTAATTTATTCAAAAGTCTAGCATAACATGTATGAATTAGTCTAGTTACTGAGATGACGGAAATAAGTCCCGTGGCAAATGCTGGTGCCCAAGCTAGACACTTTCCCTTTTGTGCCGCCCGTTGTGTTCTCCTCCAGTCCCCCCTGGCTGATGCCAACAATACTGAAGCGCATGTCCTTGCCTAAGATTGTCACTGTGCTTTTCAAACGCTGACAGGATTTGCACTGCACAGCGGCGGTATCAATATTCATCTTAAGACGATGGCTGTAGAGGACTGAAAGGGAATTCTGAGGGAGAAGTCTGGAAGGGGGAGCGTTGGAGGTGCAGGAAGATGTGGAATCTTTCCATCGACAGAACTTCTTCCCTCTGCCTCAGTTTTGCCTCAAAGAGCGTCCTTGTCTCTATACCATGAGAAAAATAGTGATGTGCTTGATTGAAAGATCACACAAGTTTGTTAACGATAATTTGTAGGAAGTGATTTACATACTCGGTAAATATACCAAAAAAAAACTGCGTGGTTTTAGTCCGCACTCGAATCATACCGACCGAGCAACGGCCGCCTTTCGGCGAAGTTTAGTGCCAACTTTTGCGGATAGTGGGTGTTGTGTGGTCAGCGCAACAGATCCCCATGGCCGTTAATTTCGGTTTTCTAGACCGGAGCCGCAATTTCCTTGAAATAGCTCCTCAATTATCCTCACGAGTCTGAGTGGATTCCGTTCCAGACCCACTACTTCTCACAAAAATCTGGTAGCACCGGGAATCGAAACCGGACCTCTGGATCGGTAGCCAGGAACTCTGACCAGTAGACCACAGAGTGCGACTATCTGAGAGCGACCCAAAAAATCGTTCGGCTGATCAGGCGGAGAGACACGCTACTCGCGTCAAATTGGCTGTTAGTGGGCACATTAGTACAAGAGCCTATAACGTGTCAGTTTGGCTTCTTCATTGCCTCGAATAAATGCTGAACAGCTACCGTGAAGCGAGATTTCGCGTTGTGAACGGGCAGACTGCTCTGATGTTACACGGTTTCAATATGAAGAATTTTGCACTAGTTCTCTCTGATGTTTTTTAAACCCGGTCTCCTGTTCCAAGGCGCCTGAGCGATTTTCGAGAACAGTGTTCGAACCTAGCTTATATTTAATCCATTTTCTGTTCAGTGAGCGCTGGGCGTGCGGAGTCTTATGTTTTCCCGCCCAGTAACGGCCTCTTTTCATCACTTTCTTTACAGTTGCATGAAAAATGTTTTATTTCGACTTTGAGGATAAAAGAGCGGGAGACCGTCACCGCCATCTGTGAGCAGACTGTCTAGAAAATGCTGGAGCCTCCACAGTCTGCTACAAGGATAGATTTTATACGTGTATTATGATTATTATTACCCTGCCCTGTGCTGTGTCTGTAATTGGCCTTGCGGCTGTTGACTCGGCACATAAATAATAAAGAATTGAATTGAGTTATTATTATTTTCTGATACACGTAGTGTGTAAGAGAAAATACACTATAATAGTGATAAGAATCGATATGGAGATTTTTAAGGATTTACACGTTGTCAGAGCCCCTGGATGCGAAAAAAAAAATCTGTTTTCTTTATCTAACCTGTTCGTGTGCATTCCTGAATATGCACCTCTCTACCGCCTGAACGGTTGGATGGATTTTGTTCATATTCGTCATTTACGGTAAGAGTTTATCCGTCATAGGTATGTGCCCAGTGAATATGAATATTCTAGCTCCAAAATTACGGACCCCTCAAACTGCATTCACTATCATGTGTTCAACCCAGGCTGATAACAATTCTCGGAAATTATGGTTGCGTTGCGGCTGCTAGTTTCCTTGTTGTGCCCACGGCATTTGAGTCAGATAGCAATCCTCAGGATAGAGCGAGAAGCTTGTATCTGTCCCACCTGAGAGGACGAATTATATTTTTTATATCTTTTGGATGTTCGTAAAGGGAATATAGTAAAATAAGCAACGAACATTTTATGTACTATATAAACATTCTCAATAATATGTACAGTGTCTCGAAGTTCATAGATAGACTTATATAATGCGAATTATTTGTAACATTAAAATTCATAAATTACGTGCAAAATATTTTCGACGTCTTTACTGAAAGAGTAAAGAATATAAGAAGTATATTTTGGTTAGAGCAATCCTGTAAGAACCAAGATCCGAAAGGTGAAATCCTTACTGTATTACAGAGAGCTTTCCATCTGTATTCTTACCACCTCTGTATTCGGGTGCTCCTAGCCGTTACAGATTTCAAGAACACGTTAACAGTGTTTGAAAGGCACAGCTTATGTATGGTGTATGATCAGAGATTCATACATCGACGGTTATGAAGATTTCTATCTTCTGTTATATAACGCCTTATAAAAAAAACTCTGCCCCAAGATATAGGCCATATGTTACTCCGAAATGTCGGTCTACTGTTATCGGACTGCACGGCCTTATATCCAAGAAGCAAGAACGCAGCATGAAGCAGGTAGCTCTGCTTGCTACCTGCTTCATGAGGGTGTCTTGTTTGGCTTATCCTTCGACCCTCGAAATAGAGGCGACAAGGTTCTTCCGAAACTTCTGCTGATATTCAACGGACGACATGACGTTATATCAGAGAAGATATATAGAAATGTTTTAAGTATAGTATTTATACTCCTGCTTGTTAAATTCTTTCCGCAAAAGATAAAAGATTCGCTTCGTCGTCATGTTTTTAACTGTTCACTTCGAAAAAATATTTAATATATTATTTGTAGGCATGTGTATGATCTACCTCCGTTTCAAATTTCACATGCGACTTCAATGGCCCCTAAGTTATCGCTATCAAACACAAAGATAAGTACAGGAGTCCCTCGGTTTACGGCGGTAATTCATTCAATGAAATCTGATTATAAGGTGAAAATTATATTCCCATTATGAAGAAAGCAGTCTTCTGGGATTTGGCACCGTGTATATGTGGTGTTAACCGACGTTTCGGAGGAACGTATCGCCTCCATCTTCAGGGTAGAAGAAAAATATCAGAAATCTGCAAGCGAAGAGACCGTGAGAACCGGTAAAAGCAGTCTGCTTTTACCGGGAATATGTAAGATTTGAGGCTTTCACGGCGGTGACTATGAAGAAAGCAGTCTTCTGGGATTTGGCACCGTGTATATGTGGTGTTAACCGACGTTTCGGAGGAACGTATCGCCTCCATCTTCAGGGTAGAAGAAAAAATATAAGAAATCTGCAAGCGAAGAGACCGTGAGAACCGGTAAAAGCAGTCTGGTTGAGGCACTATGCCACAAGCTGAAAGGTCGCGGGTTCGAGTCCCAATGAGGTGGATTTTTTTCGATTTACCTAGTACTCCCAGCCGGACTATGGCCCTGGGATCGACTCGGCCTCTAACGGAAATGAGTACCAAGAATCTTCCTGGGGGGAGGGATAAAGGGCGGTCGGCGCGTAAGTATGACAACACTACCGCCATCTGTGAGCCGATTGTCCAGAAAAAATGTGGGAGCATCGACGTCTCACAACTATATGGACCTTCACGGCCTGTTACAGGGATAGCTTCATTTTTTCTTTTTTGCCTTTTAATTATATAGCAGTGCACGAAGTAACACAGAAACGTATGTAGGTCCTCACGTAACGCGTAAGTTATTTTTGTGCAATTTTAACCCAAATTTGAAGTATGCTGACAAATTGTTAGCAAAATTTCCGTATTATCAAATTCCATGAAAATCCCGTTCAGCAGTTCTAGAGCTGCATGGGAATAGACGGACAGACGAAAGGACAAAAAGACAACGCAATGAAGGAAACGGAATCATTTTTGCAAATTTGCTTTGCAAATTGGATCGATGTGATTTTTATTTCATTACTTCTCACTGCGTTGGAGCCGAAACGCTACAAGTTCTGGATATCGTGCATATAGCAACTGAAAGAAAAGAGCAGAGAAACAAAATGAAACGCGAGTACATGAAAAAGTGTGAAGAATTGTGACAGCAAAAATCGTACAGAACGTCATAAGGTTTTTTGTCTAGGTCCCGTTAGACATGAGATAGGACTATGTATTCAGAGGATTCAGTGGTTTTGGGCACAATACCAGGTTTGCAGAATCCTTCCAGCCGCACTGTAACCCTGGGGTCGACTCAGCCTGTAACATCTTCCGGGTANGGGGGGGGGGGGGGGTGTAAAGGGCGGCCAGCGCATAGGCTGACAACCTCACTGCCATCTGTGAGCCAACTGTGTAGAAAAAAAGGCTCGATGTTTCACAACCCTCTGGGCCTCCACGGCTTGTTACAGAGATTCCTTCCTTCCTTTTTTATGGAATTTGATACTTAAGAGCTTTTGCAAGAAAGTGTCCAGCCACTTCGATTTTAATTTAGTGTGGTTTCGTGTTCAGCAATTAACCGTAGACTCCAGAACACAGTCACAGTTATGAAGAAGAAAGTTACGTCTTTATTGCGTTTAGACTGCTTTGTATTCTGACATGCTTTGCTCTTTTAATGCTGTCACAGTACAATTTTGCAGTACACATTAAACAACTGATATTTAATTTTTGTTTTCAATGTGTTGTAACAGCGAACAGTCACTGGCGAACCCGTACATTATTTAATCTAAGTCTGGAGTTCTCAAAATTTGACATCGCAGCCCCCTCTAAAATAATATATAAGTTTACGCGTCGCCCATCTCTGCCGGTCAGTGAAAGGTGCGATTCTACACAGCCTTGCAGGGTTTTCTTGTGAACGCATAAACACAGACAGATCACACGAACATTTGCTCTGTTTCAGATGAACCCGCAACACACCGTTCCGACGTTAAATGATAATGGATTTTATGTGGCCGAGAGGTAAGTTCTTGTTTTGAAGATACGCAGCGTCATTCAGAGGTCATTGCATGGGAAAGTTCGGGGATTTAATTTACAGTTCTCATAGCACATTAAATTTCCTATTTCGTTGTCTGCATGCAGTACATTCTTACAAGAACTGAAGGGGATATTTATATATTCATTTTCAGAATTTGTAATACAGATAATAATGAATAAGTGGCGGTCAGTGTTGTACTTTTTGCTGTTTTCATGTGCATATTATAGTGCAGATCTAGCCGCGTAACAGAAAAGCTGGGGCATGCATATACACATTTAGTCGAAAATCTTAAAAATTTAGGCCGGAAGGTCGCGGGTTCAAGTCCCGATGAGGTCATTGGATTTTTCTCAATTGACCTAATCCTTCCGGCCGCACTATAGTCCTGGGGTCGACTCAGCGTGTGACAGAAATGAGTAACATTAATTAAATAAATAATTTTCCTGGGAAGTAAAGCGCGGCCGGCGCGTAAGACTGACAACCTTACCGCCATCTTTGGACCGATTGTCTAGATCAGTGCTTCTCAACCGCCGGGCCGCAGCCCAGTAGTGGGCCCTGGCATCAATTATACTAGTGTGCGAGAGGCTCATCTGGATTTTGTCGTTTTCATTTTATAAGCATTTTTCATGAATAAATATTTTATAGTGGAAATATTCTGAGGAGAATAATATTTGTGTCGAGAAGCTCAGACACAGAACACCTAACTCGGTGTAGCAACTGTTAGTGACCAAGCCGCATATTTTTAAACATGGAAGTATTCATGAATGAATGAATTTTCAGACATCCAAATCTTTCAACATTCGGGAAAGGCAATTCCGATGTTTATGACCAGTTATAAAATTTGGCTGCAAGCCGATTACAACAATGTGCAGCATATCCTCTGTTCTCTGAATTGAGCGGAATAACATCTGTGTTGCAAATGTCAGTGACCAATGAGCAAGGAAGTATAAAGAAAATGTTTCCACTGAAATTGAAGATCAAGGCAGTCTGTATCCGGTTCTCAAATCTAGTAATACTGAATACTGTTTCTTAGGAAGTTCGCATTGCAGTGTGTAAGTGCTTGTTTCGAAACCTGAGTGATTTAAATTTTAATATGAATAACAGACAGGGGACTTTATTTAATTTTGGGGTTAAGAAATCTCGTATTTAAGGTGTTTGTGACGCAACAAGTAGTGATTCATCCACCTCAAACCTACATAGCGATCTCCAGGATGTACAAAATGAAGGGGAAACCACCAGCATGGAACCATTTCATTTCCACCCCTCTCATAAACTCTCCCCGTTACTTGTTCATTTCTGACCACCACATTTCCCTGTATTTCCATCCAGTTATGTAACCTTCCTGTCCAGTTGAACGTTATTAATGATAATCCCTAGAGATACGGGCCTTGGCTGCTTGTACAACAACTGGCAGAAATGGGAAGCCTCACGCTCCCCACCACCGTATCTGGGTGATTTGAATTTCCACGGCATCGTCACTTCACTAATGAAATTTCTGATGATATTGTGTACTGAATAAGGGAACCTGCGATACGACAAGATCTCCAATCGGAGATCTTTAGATAGGTTTTAAAATGTGAACCTTAAATTCAAGCAGAGGTTATTTCACTTTTTAAAGACCGCGTCCCATTGGATTCTTAGTAGTAATACAATATTAGACAAGTTTGCCTTTGAGAATTATACGCTTAACTTTTCAGGATCTCGATTAAAGTCCAGTCTACATGTAATGTTAGGTGGTCTTAAAGATCGCATATACACGTAGTACAAGTAGTTACTATAGGATTCTGACGATGGTGTATAACACACAGAGATATTTGGTTTTCGGACTTTATCCGTCATCCTGGTTTATAAGATAACTAAGAAAAACATGACGTTTCGGAAACTGGATCTGTTTCCGAAACGTCGTGTTTTTCTTAGTTATCTTAAAAACCAGGACGACGGGTAAAGTCCGAAAACCCAATATCTCTACACGTAGTACAGTATAATATAGTAGTACTAGCATTCTGCATTAAGGAGGAAACAACATATCAGGAAAAGCTGGTGGAACTTGTGCTTTGTTTCTCCACAGTGAGGACACATTTGTACTAATATTATTTCTTCCACACTAGATTCTATAGTATAGTCGATTAGTGCCTGAAAATATTGTTATTGCTATCGTTACTTCGACTACTGCTATTTTTCAAGGCACATTTTTAATGGAGCAAACAGAAGTATACATTTAATGCCACAGTAGGAACAAATCAGGCCGCCTCTGTGGTCTAGTGGTCAGAGTTCCTAGCTGCAGATCCAGAGTTCTGGGTTCGATTCCCGGCGCTACCAGATTTTCTGAGAAGTAGTAGGTCTGGAACAGGGTCCACTCAACATCATCAGGATAACTAAGGAACTATTTTAAGGATATAGCAGCTTCGGTCTAGAAAACCGAGATTAACGGCCGTGGGGATGCGTTGCGCTGACCACGCGACACCCTCTATCGGCAAAAGTTGACACTAACTTCGCCAACAAGCGGCGGTACCTCGGTCGGTATAGTTCTCTTGCGGACTACAGGCCACGGAGTTTTTTTTTTTGTAGGAACAAATTAAAAGTTGATTCAGGACGAGACTGAATATGGGTAATGCTTGCTACCATTCAGTCCAGAACATTTTGTCTTCTCATCTGCTGTCTATAAACATGAAAATTAGAATATATAATTTTGCCTGTGGTTCTGTATGGGTGTGAAACTCGGTCTGTGACATTAAGAAAGGAACATAGGCTGAAGGTGTTTGAGAACAGGGTGCTGAGGAGAATGTATATGCTGAAGAGGAATAAAGTGACAGGAGGTTGGAAAAACTGCATAATGAGCTTCATAACTTATGATCAAGTTAAGGAGGATGAGATGTGCATGGCATGTAGCACGAATGGGGGAGAAGAGGAATGTATATAGGATATTGGTGGAAACGCCAGAAGGAAATAGACCACTAGAAAGACCAAGACATAGGTGGGTGAACAATATTAAAATGGATTTTAGAGAGAGAGAATGGGATGTGATGAATTGGATTGATCTGGCTCAGGGTAGGGATCAGTGGAGGGCTCTCGTGAACACAGTAATGAACTTTCGGGTTCCATAAAATCCTGGGAAATTCCTGAGTATCTGCAGAATTGGCAGCTCCTGAACAAGGGCTCAGCTCCATGAAGTAAGTAAGTTAGTTAGTTAGTTAGTTGGTTGGTAGGTAGATAGATAACGTTTTGTTGGTACAGTGTATAACAGCAGACCGTAACTCTGTCCTGTAAAACTAATTATGATTCATTTAATCTGAATCCTTGTTCTATTAGGGTAATAATGATCCTATAATGACGACTTGGATCCTCCTTAAATTTTAATGAAACTGAAACATTAAAATAGTAATCAAATCCATTTGTCTTTTTTTTTTATGGCTAGACTATTCAGTGAACCCTCTAACGTTAACGGAGCCTGTAGGTTCATGATCACAAAGGCCATAACTGTTACCTATCCTCGGCTAGTTCTGTATAGCTTACAACTTTTTCACGTGTTGTCTACTTACTATTTTAGTCATCTCTTTAACACCACATTGTTGTTTTCTCATATTTACTGCAAACAACTGACCAGTTTATATTCGGTTTTTTTTCCCCCCACTTTCACGTTGGATTATATCTGGTAGTATAATACTGTACAGTGCCTTACAGCCACAGAATTCATCAGTGCCATGCCAGGATAAATTAATTGTTCCGTAATCCATCAGTATGTTATGACGTGAGGTAATAGATTAAATATAATATATTATTTATATAATATGATAATGATGTATTAGTTTTCATAGTAGCTGAGACTTGTGATATTTTTGTGATTTGAAAATTCTGAGATTTCTGGAATTTAGCCATCCTTAGAGGTCACTGAACTGATAAAAAATGCATGATGTCTACATAACAGTATTTTTGTATAATAATTAACATTTAGAAATTTCATGGTGTTAATTTGTGTGTTGTCTAGTCGCACCATACTGGGCTACTTGGTAGATCAGTATGGCAAAGATGACTCACTGTACCCAAAGGATATAAAGGAACGTACACGAATAAACCAGATTCTTTACTTTGATTTGGGGACTCTGTATCAACGCTTCTCTGATTACTATGTGAGTATACATCATTGAATTAAAAAGCAAAACAAGTTTAATTTCCATAGCTATTACATAGTTTTGTATGAGTTTGAAACTTGGTCTCCCACATTAAGAGAAGAACATGAACTGGCCACATTTGAGAACAGGGTGCAGAGGAGAATACTTGGACCTAAGGAGGAAGAAGTCCCAAGAGGCCTGAGGAATGTGCATAATGAGGATTTTCATTATTTGTACTTCTTGCTAACTATTGCTAGTGCGATAAAATTGGGAATAAGATGGGCAGGCCACACAGCACGCATGGTACTGGAGTAAAATGTTGGGAATAAAACCTGAAGGAAAGAAACCACTTGGTAGGCCCAGTTGTAGACTACACTGTTACTAAAATGGGTTGTAAACAAATGGAATGGGAGCTGTGGCTGCCTCAAGGAGGGTTCTGCTTCATGTAGTTACTTTGGCACGCGATAGTTACAATAGCCACACGAGCTAAACTGTCTTCGCTCACTCAGATGCTGGGATCGTGGGTTTGAATCCCACTTAAGGCATGGATGTTTGCATTGTATTGTGTTTATGCAGAGGCTTTGTGATGTCCAAGGAGTTCTACTGTCTGTGAAAAATTATTATGGAACTGAATAAGAGGCCAGGTCCTTGAGTGGCCTGTAAGCCATTGAAAAAAAAATTTACATTGTCATGTGGATTTCATTAACATAATAGATGGAGATGGACAGAAACACACAAACACAGAGTGAGTGAGGGCCACACACACACAGACACACAGCATAAATTGTGGGCAGTGAAGCCATCCACTCAGGAATGGCAATCATTGAGCTCTGTTAAGAAGGATGAACTGGTGCGTACACATGTATGAACTGCGCGTACACTTGCCTCACAAAGTGGCATTTGTTATATGGGGACTGGGCACCTTTCTGTACACACTGTGGTCTACCACTACTCGTTACAATGAAGAAGACTGCTGTACTTTCACCTTCAAGATATGTCGTGTCAAATCCTTGAAAATGATCGCTGTAGTATGTGTAGTACTATATTTTGACATTCTTCAATGGTACATGGGTTGCGAAGTCCATTTCATTTTACCGACAGTTTTATACTGTTTCAATTGAACCTGTGTGTGACTTAATTTTCATTATTTTAAGACCTCACTGGTTCAGGTAATGGTGGCTCTTTTTAACTGTTTTTTTATTTGCTTAATTTGCAGTTTTGCCCTGAATCTGTCTGCCAAACTTTTTACAGCCACATATATGATTATATCTGATTTTAAAGTGGGTTATTTAGAGGTATTTGTACTTCACACTTTGTACAGACATGAATGTTTCTTTTCCTTCCCTGAAGTGCCCTAAAACCCACTAACTCACTCACAAACGCAAAGAAACTTGCATGCACACATGCAGAAACATGTGTATACACAAATGCACACAGGCTCGCCCACAAACATACATGCACACACAATCTTCCAAACAAACAATCTCACTCATGCACATACACACACACATAACATGGGTACACACAAACAAATGATGCAAACAAAACACTTGGACACACACCACGCATAGAGTATATATATATATATATACAGAGTGATTTACAGGACAGAATTACAGGACAAGGAATAACATTACTTCAGGTCCAGACACATGTTAGGGGGCACTGTAGTGAATTTAAAGGCAATTATGAAATGTGTCAGAGTCACAAAAATCTTGTTGCTAAGAGTATCTCTAAACCTAGAAGAAAGATGTTAAGAATGTAATTGGGCCGGCCTGGATGTGGGCAGGAACAGCATATTCTGTGCATCGCAGGTTATGATTGTTTGATATGTGTCCATGCATATATATGTACCTAGGAGAAAGGGTGGTACTAAGCTTCCCCTGACACCAAAATTATTGTTTGTTATAAACTTCTTTTTACCAACAGATGTACGGTGTTTAGGTGAAGGATGAGGTGGGTGCAATTTCCTCATTTAACATATTCTGTTCAGCTCAAGGAGACTGGAAGTTTGTCAAAAAGAGTACTATATAATTTAACAAAATTTAAATAGAATGGTAATTTTACACCTTTTCTCTTAGGTACTGGGGAAGAGGCATGTATCTAATTAGTCCTGGTCTGACTACTTCAGATAGTTGCACTCTGCCAATGATTATCAGTAATTTCAATAACAGTGATCAAGTGAGATGTCTTGTTAATAGCCTACTGAATAATATATATATATATCTACACACTCCATTGTAAAATATTATGCATAAACAGTTTGTGGTTTCATAACTATAATAGACTTTAATCTGTTCCAGTTTCCAATTATTGAAACTGGAAAATGTGGTGAGCCAGGGAAACTAGTGAAACTTGAAGAGGCATTCCAGATTCTGGACAAATATCTGGAAGGTCAGAACTGGGTCACAGGAAAACACCTCACCATTGCTGACTTCACCGTTGTATCTACAGTGGCTTCCATTGAAGTAAGTAAAATAGGCTGTACGATTAATGGTATCCCTGTAACAGGCTCTGGAGGTCCGTAGGGTTGTGAGACATTGAGGCTTCCACATTTTGTAGACAATCTGCCCACAGATGGTGGTAAAGTTGTCAGCTTACATGTCAGCTGCTATTTACCCCCAAGGAAGATTCCTGGTACTCATTTCTGTTCAGACTGAGTTGACCCTCAGGGCCATAGTGTGGCTGGAAGGATAAGGTCAATTGAAAAATGCAGTGACCTCATCAGGAATCAAACCCATGACCTCCCAACTTGTAGCATAGTGCCTCAACCAACTACACTACTGTGTGACCCTAGGCTGTGTGGTTTCCCTTGTTAATGTTCCCATGATATCATTTGTATATAATGTGTATTAATCTCCCCTTTTATAGAAGGCATTCTGGTCTGCCACACTATTTGGACATTAAGTGAACACTACCAGCATCAAGGGCGACTAATTTGAATTACATAGAAACCATTAAACGTTTCGGTCTTAAGAGGCTATTATCAGAATGTACCCATCACATGAAAACCAAAATTAATGGCCGTGGGGATTCGTTGCACTGAGCATGCAACGCCCTCTATCCACTAAAGTTGGCACTAACTTCGCTGACATGCGGCCTCCGTAGTCTAGGGGTAACGTTCCCACCTCACGATTCAAGGTACACAGGTTCAAACCCGGCAGAGGTCGTGGAATTTTTAAGGGCGGAAAAATTCAGGGAACAAGTCCTCCAGGAGCGACTTTAAGCCGTGGGTCCTGTGTCATAGATTTACGGCACGTAAAAGATCCTCGTGTCTCTAGGAGACCTCTGAGCAAAATTAGGCAACTATTTCCCACCCAAGTAGTTTCCAATGCCTCGGGCAGATGGGGGAAATATCAGGTACCGACGGCCAACCTCGTTGGCTGAACTGGGCTGATAGCACGAACAAGGGGATGGGGACAGTAGAAATTAAAGGGGGATGCACAATGGACCAATAACCGGTCTAAGTTCATGGGGAAACCCACCCCCTCTAATAATAATAATAATTTCGCCAACAAGTGGTGGTCGCTCAGTCAGTATACCTGTAGTTTGCTTACGGACTAAAAAACCACAGAGACAGACCCATCATGTGAGGAAGTGCTTTACAGTTATGGAGGGCAACTTCACACCAGTTCTTCTCCTGTACAGTTATAATCTCTGCAACCGAGTTTGTATTTAAATCATGTTCAGTTTTATATAATCTAGCTAAGTAACTAACTACTTCATGGAGCTGACCTCTTTTTGAGAAGCCGCCAGTTGTGCAGCGAATGCCTTACCAAGGAAGCTCTGGATGGGCTCAGAGACTTCAAAGTAGGAGGGCAAATTATTCAAACTGTGAAATATGCAGATGACCTTGTGTTAATGGCTAAGGAAGAAACTGTGTTACAGGGCATGATTGATAGACTAATTGAAATTGGAAGGTGCTATGGCATGGAAATGAATGTGGAAAAAACAAAAGTAATGAAAATTTCGAGACAACCAACCCCAGTCACAATAAAGATAGACCAAAAACAACTGGAGAATGTGAAGTGTTTTAAATATTTGGGTAGCTTGTTAACAGATGATGGAAGGTGTACTAGTGAAATTAAATCCAGGATTGCCATGGCAAAAGCTGCATTTAGCAAGAAGAAGAATCTTTTTACCAGCAAATTGGACTTAAATTTGAGGAAGAAACTAGTGAAATGCTACATTTGGAGCATAGCTCTGTATGGGGCTGAAACATGGACACTTAGGGCAGTAGATCAGAAACATCTGGAAAGTTTCGAAATGTGGTGTTGGAGAAGAATGGAGAAGATCAGTTGGACCGATTATGTGAGAAATGAAGAAGTGTTAATTAGAGTCAGTGAGCAGAGGAATATTCTACACGAAATAAGAAAACGGAAGGCTAATTGGATTGGTCATGTTTTATGCAGAAACTGCCTTCTAAAAGAAGTTATCGAAGGAAAGATAGATGGGCGGATAGAAGCGACAAGAAGACATAAGAAGATGCTGGATGACCTTGGGGACAAAATAGGATACTGTCATTTGAAGGAGAAAGCTCTAGATCGCATTAAGTGGAGGAATTGTTTTGGAAGAGACTGTGGACCTGTCGTCTTGACAGATTACTGATGATGATGATACAAAAGTTACCATAGCAGAAGTTCTGTACTTTTAGAAATCCTTTTCCATACATCATTTTTTAACCTTAAATTATGTGGTTTTAGAGTGGTTCCCTCAGAATTTCTTATATCTGCTATGTCATTATTAATGATTGTAAGAAATAAAGTACTGTATGACATTGCAGTGTGCTCCAGTGGCATAACTTCCATAGCAAATTTTGTGACAACGGGTAAACAGGTCCAGTAGATGGCATGGGGATGCACATGGCATGATCTCATAAGCCTGCCTTTTTCAATAAATCCAGGTGAATAGAGGGACCACATTGACTAGCCTGTTGGTTTCATTTTAGAGCTCCCAGACAAGGTTATTAAAACTGATCTATATGGATATCTTACATAGGACCATGTTGTTCTCCCCTCCCCCCCAAGAAGAAACATCCAAATATTCATAATTCAATTCACATTTTATCATAAGTGCCAATTACACTTCATATAAATTATCAACATTCAGAGACTATAAATAATATACAGAAACCAAAGTGGGTTCATGGGAAAATATGGAAATCAGTCATAGCTTAATTTCGTGCCTGTCATAAATTTGACTGTAAAAACATTTACTTTCCTGTCATCAAGGCAAGACTAAATTTAACATAAATTATTATATACATCTGTAGGTGCTTCCATTTTTTTCACAGTTTCAGCTGTATGAAAAATGTTTACAGAATTTAGTAATAGTAAAATCCTTTAAATAAATAAGATAGTATTCTAAATGGATTAACAATATAAATTTTCCAAAAGCACTCAAGAATTATTTATGGCAGTATCATGATGGTATAATATGAGTATATAACTGCTTGGGAATTTGTAAATGCTCTGGAAGTGCAAAGAAGCTCCATGAGCAGATGAGGATTTAGAAGTGCAAAGGTTCCTTTATAAGTTTCCATTCATATCATTACAGTAATCTTTACTTCCTTACTTTATGATCAACCAAGTGTCAGGTCGCTTAAAGATCATGTGCTGCTTAGTCAGGACTAATGCACACCTCAGGCGTGGTGACAGATAAGTCTGGAACAATGGTGGCATAATGGTTAGCAAAGAGAAACTGAACAGACTGTGAGAATTTACTGCAATGTTCCTTTTATTACACCACAAATCTCACATGGAGTGCTGTGAGAAGTCACCGCCTAATTGCCTGAGTTATGGCACAGCCTCTATCATATCAGTGCAAGAAAACTTTAGCGTGTTACTACTGTTACTACAATTGCTCTGTTACAAATGTCATTACTATTACTGCTATAATTGTTCTTTAACATGTTCTGCGTCTTCTTTTTTTCTTTTAGTGCGTTGGGTTTGATGTCAGCAAGTATGCTAATGTGTCCAGATGGTATTCAAATGCACAGAAAAAACTGCCTGGCTATGACGAGATTGTTGGGAGTGGGTGTAAGGCCCTTAAGGAGTATTTTGATCAATATAAGAAGTAAACAGCAGGTTTCATATTATGGGCTCAAAATAAGAAGTTCAGAAAGCGAAATGTGTAATTTCAATGCAAAATATTACTTACAATATTTTATTAAAGATCTATAATGAGCACAAATGAACTTCATGATCATCTTTGCTTAAATGTTTCTAATGTTTGAAAATTGTTCATTATTTTCTTATGTTTTTCTAGACAAACAGAAATTTGTGTTCATTGTGGGGTATATGTACCTTCGACATGGTTGAATATAGAGATCAAATTGTGGTGGGTTAAAACTTTTTGATACAGTTAGAATTTATGTAAAGAATTAGGGTGATAATGTGATTACTATTGCACATTATACTACAGAGAAAATATAATACAGTATTCTTTATAAGCTCTTGAAATGGCACTTTTGTGGTGTATGTAAGTGTATCTTTTACCTGTATGTAACCCTCTTCTAAAAGTTTAACTAAGACTGTCTGTTATTATGTTTTGTCCGAGATGAGAGAATAATCATTTTGGGTGTACCAAGAAAATACATGGAAATATTTAGAAATTTCATTCCAGTATAAAATTAATTGCACAAAAGAATTAAAAATATATTAATTTTCTTAACAAATTTCAAGGATCTAGGAGCATGTAGCTCCTTGATACAGCACAACAATTTTCTGTTTGTACGGTCTACAAAGTACCTGTAAACAGCAATATCAGACATTTTCAAGAAAATTGTTTTCCTCATGAAAAGTATGCTTCATTGTTTTCAGGCAGTCACTGAGGGCTTATAAGAAGGTTGATTCTTTTTCTTTTGAGCTTAGGGTTATTTGCTTCCATGACCAAAACCCAGACTCGAAGTCTGCCATTTGTCAGACATCAACAAGTGCCTGTTCTGCAGACATGAAACTCAGTACACTCTGAAAGTCACTCTGCAGTTAGCAGTACTATAGCATGTATTCATTCTAAAAGAATAAAATACTTATATGGAACTGCAGTATTGCCCATTGTTTGTATGCCAGTGAAACTTGTTGCCTCATGGAGAGGGCAGAAGAAATATATGATGATTCAGGACAGCGCAGAGAAGATCACTTGTACCTGGGATTGGAAATAATAATGCAATGAAAGCTTCAAAGCCACTTGCACCTAGTACTGTATGATTTTCATTTCATGCATCCTGTTGTGTTACAACATATAACTCATTATTGAAAGTCACAACACAACAAACAGAAAAATCAAGGTCAGCGCCCAGCTATGTTTCGCTACATGTTTCAGCCACTATCGGCCATCATCAGTTAAACACATATTAACAAACATATAGCATTGAACTGCAGTACATTAGATTGGATACAGTCTTATAAATCATTTAAAATACTTTGCGTAAAAATACAATAAGTCAGATTATATAAGATAAGATAAAATTGATGTTATATAACATCAGTTTTATCTTGCTTTATACAATAACTTTTAGTTTTTTATATAATCTGACTTATTGTATTTTTACGCAAAGTATTTTAAAAGATTTATAACATTGTATCCAATCTAATGTACTGTAGTTCAGTGGTATATGTTTGTTAATATGTGTTTGCCTGATGATGGCCGATAGTGGCTGAAACATGTAGTGAAACATAGCTGGGCACTGACCTTTATTTTCTCTGTTTGTTGTGTTGTGACGGTCAATAAAGAGTTGTAGTACTGTATGATTAACTCCTTGGTACACTACTTAATTTCGTCTTCATCTAGTTCCTTTTTGACAGCTACACTGTTACAACCAAGCCACTTTACCCTGTTTCTGTTTTCCCACAGTTCCTCTTCCTGATCTTCTGTTTATCATTGATTGAGTACTTAAGTATATAAAGTACTCCATTTCCTTTATTTCATGAAAGGTAAATAGGTAAAGCTATTCCTGTAACAGGCCATGGAGACCCATAGGATTGTGAGACATTGAGGGTCCCACATTGTTAGACAATTGGCTTACCAATGGCAATGAGGTTGTCAGCCTTACACGCTGGGTTTACCCCCAGGAAGATTCCTGGTACTCATTCCTGTTAGAGGCTGAGTAAACCCCAGGGCCATAGTGTGGCTGGAAGAATTAACGTTTCCATTTTATCTTTTCTGTACCTCCTTTTGTCTGGCTTATTTTCATGACCACATATTTGTCCAAAGTGATACTTAATCCAAAGTCTTTACAAATTGTAACAGTCCTACGAAATTTTGTTTCTGAATTTCTTTCATTCAGTTCCAATATAATGATGCCATCTGCATAAACCATTGTTTTGGCATTCCATAATCTTGTGCTTTTATATTACACTACTGAACAGGTCTCCGATTTTTTTTCTCAGGACTGGGAGCAGATAGACATATGCAGTTTAGTTTAAAATACGTGTGCACTCTTTGTGAATGCGTGACAGAGATGGCAGCACTCTACGGCACACAGAATTCTAGTGGTAGCAGCGAGAGTGAGGAGTGTTTTTGATACTTAAAATGGCGACTTCTTCGTTACAAGAACAGCAAGTAATCATTCGTTTTCTCCACTTGCGTGGTGCGACACCCATTGAAATTCATCGCCAGTTGAGTGAGACGTGTGGTGATGGTGTCATGAATGTGAAAAATATGCGTTTGTGGGCGCAACAGTTCAAAGAAGGCCGAATATCGTGTGACAACGAACCAAAACAATCTCGGCCTCGCACCAGCCGGTCTGACAACATGGTCGAGCGAGTTGAGAAAGTTGTTTTGGAGGATCGCCGATTGAGTGTGGAAAACATCGCCTCCAAAGTTGGCATTTCCGTGGGATCTGCACAAAATCCTGCATGAAGACCTGCGAATGCGGAAAGTGTCCTCCAGGTGGGTGCCACGAATTCTGGCGGATGACCACAAGGCTGCAGGCATGGCAATTTTCCAGGCGATGTTGACACGTGATGAAGGCATGAATGGGACTTTCTTTTCGTCAACTGTGACAGTGGATGAGACGTGGATGCCGTTTTTCAATCTGCTATTGCATCAGCAATTTTCCAGTGGTCAAAACAGACTCCTACAGAAGCGTTCGCAGCAGCCATGGAATCATGGCGTCGACGTTGTGAAAAATGTGTACGGCTGCAGGGAGATTACGTTGAAAAGTGTCAGACGTTTCAAATTCTTTGTATGATTATTGTGTGAGAAAAAAAATCGGAGACCTTAGAACTTGAACGCACAACGTACTTCCCTGTCAAACCCCTCTACAGGTTTCAAACCATTAAGAAGTACTACCACCTATGACTGCACTGAAGAACACTGTCTTCTGGGTTGTAATACCACATAGTGTGGTAGGAGTTTTTTTGGGAACAGTGTACTGCCTCCATCTTCAGGGTCAAAGAGTAAGCCAGGCAAGAAACCTGGAAGAAGCAAGCAGGGAGAGTTCTGCAAATTATGGCACACTGCAGAAAGATATAAGAAATGAAATTCTGCATTATCCCCCCCTCAATAAAAATATTTATTGTGGTAAAAAAGATAAAATTTTCCCTGTGCTTAACTAATTAAGCACTATGCCAGGAAGGCGTATGGGGGACTGGATATATAGATCCACATTTTCTTGACCTATGCATTAGTTGGAGGTAAATGGTCAGCTTGACACCTTGGCCGCATTACCCCCAGCGGAAGAGCCCTTGGAACCCATTGGATAGGAGGTTGGATGAACCCCAGAGCCGATCTGGACAACATGAAGAAAACATCCTTGACCCTACCGGGACTCGAACCCTGACCCCTCGGTCGTCCAGCCCATAATCAGTCACTATACCGACTATGGTGTTGTGGTTATGAAACAATTTCTTTTACAAATAACAAAACAACACAATCTCTGTATATGTGCATATAAGAAACAGAGTAAAATAAATATTATAGTATATTTGCTCTTAAGCAAAAATTGTGGAGTCACAACAGCCGGCCGTGTTTTTTCCGTAGTTCAAGTTGAGATGTTATAAGCGGGACCAGTTAGTCAGAGAACTGCTGCGGTTCAGTCGTTAGAAGCTGGTAGCTGAGACCGGGGACAATTTGGTAACCCAGAGGAAGGGGAACGTCCGCCGTTGGAAGTCATTAGTTAGTGAACGAAATATGGGCACCTTCCACCACAACAGAGGGAGTTCTTCCTGTAAAACAGACAAGGGGAGTCGACGGTACAGGCAACGCCTAAACATGAAACTGCCTTTCCCGAGCTACTTTTACTTTCAAGAGGATTTTCATCCCAGAATTCGAGACAATCCTCATTTGCTTCTTCAGTGGCAGATTTGTAAATTTATTTTGAGTAATACTGATTTACATGATTTGGGGGGGGGGGAATGTTTTTACGAGTTCTCATTCAATGCAGGGCAGGTGCGAAATAGTACATGACTGCACTAAATGGAGATCTGTTCTTACAAAGCAATGGGACTTGCATCATTGAACACTGTACCCTTCCACTTCCGGAGATAAAGGTAAACTTATCCGTGTGGTTACGTAATTAAGCTCTACGCCATGAAAACGTGTGGA